AACACCATCAGAATCACCTGATAAGCTACAGCATGAGAGCTTGTCAGGAGTCTCTGAAACTAGAACACATACACACACATGATTGCTGTCAAGTCAATTCTGACTCAGGGTAACACCATGTGTTAGAGTAGAGCCTCTCCAGACGGTGTTTTTTTGGGGTTTTTTTTGTTTTTGTTTTTGTTTTTTGCTGTAAACTTTATAATAGTATGCCATGTTTGTGTCTACAACTCCACTAGGTGGATATGAACAATCAGTGTTAAATGATGATTGGTTAGCAACTAATCGTAAACCACTTGCATCACCTAGGAACTTTACTTAGGGTGGCCACCCATTACTTACTACAATTTTGCTTCTAGGAATGATTTCCACATTCTTTGTATAACAAAGGAGCCTTGTGGGAAAACACTGGACTTCTAAATAGCAAGGTCAGCAGTTCAAACCCACCTATCACTCACTCCAGGGGAGAAAAATGAGGCTTTCTGCCCCATAAAGATTTACAGCCTTAGAAACAACTGTTCAGGATTGCTATGAATTGGAATCGATTGGATGGCAGTGAGCTTTATCTTTTGGTTTCATTACTTAACAATTGACTTAAGTTTGGAAATAAGGGTTCTTATCTCACATCTGGGATGGTCTTGGCCTAGTCATTTCTGCTCTGTCTTATCATCTATAAAATAAGGGAGCTGAAGAAGAAACACGACTAGTTCCATGATTCATAGTGTCTATGTGATGATTTTTCATGGAATTGAAACCTGAACTATTTCTCCATTGGTCCTCCAATATTAGAATGTACACACTTTCCTTTGTAAATAAATTTCCTTTAATAGCCTATTGTTCTTTGTACCTTGCCTATATACCTGAATTACTTTTTAAAAAGAAACAAGATGAATATTGGTATTAATTACATTATGAAAAAAGCTTTGGAAAGCAGAGGATGTCTTGCATATCAGATGCCAACAATATGGCAGTGTACTACTTTGTTGTTGCTGTTATGTGCCATGGAGTCGGTTCCGACTCATAGCGACCCTGTACAGGGTTTCCGAGGCTGTAAATCTTTACAGGAGCAGAAAGCCTCATCTTTCTCCAGCGGAACTGCTGGTAGTTTCAAACTGCTGACCTTGAGGTTAGCAGCCCGATTCGTAACCACTACACTACCAGAGCTCCTTGCGTACTATTTTAAGGCGTCATAAATAAACCAGGAGGTTTACCTTAACATCCTCTTGGCCTGAATATCCATAACTGTGACTTCTAATGGCAGCATCATACAACCAATTTTCAAGCCCACTTATGTTTGGGTTAACACATGAGGACAGATTCCACACAATAAATTTCTTTAATCTTTGGTGAACAAGTAAGCAATAAAAACAACAAGGATACCAATATTGAAATATTGGTGTCCTTCTTCATTATCTTCCACCGTTTATGAAGCACATACTTTGTGCCAAGCATTACACTAACTAGTTAAAAAAAAAATTGCCTGGACTCATGAAAAAAATTTTTAAGGGTGCTAGTATTAGCTACATTTTAAAGATGAGAGAAAACAAAGAACATTAAGTGGCAAATCTCTATTTTTTTTTTTTTTTACATTCATATTAAAAATTTTGACACATGCTAAAGTTCAGATCACACTAATAAGCTCAATAGTATATCATGAGCTGGGTGGCAACTATCAACAATAACCAATCATCAAGTTTCTATCACTTCATTTTTTTCTTTTACAAAATATTTATGGCAAATCCCAGACATCATATTATTTCATCCCTATATCAGTGTGGTGGTGGTAATGTGTCCTGGAGTCAGTTCTGACGCATAGAGACCCTGAGTAGGATTTCTGAGGCTACAAATCCTTACGGAAGCAGAAAGTCTCATCTTTCTCCAACAGAACAGCTGATAGTTTTGATCTGCTGACCATGAGATTAGCAGCCCGACTCGTAACCACTACGTTATCAAACTCCTACACCAGTATAAATTTGTCATCTAATGACAGATCCTTACATAATCACAATGCCACTATAATGTTCAACAAAATTAATAATTTATTGGAATCACCTAATATTCTGTAAGTAGTATTGGTGTGGAGCTATTTTTTAATGTTCTAGACTGCAAAGCTGGTTTGCACCACAAGGTCAGCAGTTCACGGCAACCAGCCATTCCTGGCAAACTCTATACAGGGTCGCTATAGGTTGGAACAGACTCACCGGCACTTAACAACAAGAACAACAACAAATATTCTGCAAATATCTGAAATGTTCTCAAAAAGTCCTTTTATAGTCTATTTGCTCAAATCAGGTTCCAAACAAGATTCACCCAAACATTTGGTTATTTCTCTTAAGTGCTGCTCCCTTTCCCTCACATTCTCTCATCTCTGACATATTGCAAAAGCAAATTTTTTTTTGACTGATATATAAATCACATTTTAAAGTGGGGTTGTAGTATACTCACAAGGTGATGCAACAATCATCACTATCTAATTGTAGAATATTGCACCACACCTATAAGAGCCCCTTCCCCCGTTAATAGCCAGTCTCCAATTCTTTCTATCCCAAAGTCCTTGGCATTTGATGGATCTTGGCTGAAAGCAATGAATACCAGAAAGATGTTTACCTGTGCTTTACCGACTATGCAAAGGCTTTAGACTACGTGGACCATGACAAATTAAGGATAACAATGCAAGGAATGGGTATTCCAGAACACTTAATTGTGCTCATGAGGAAACTCTACATAGTCCAAGAGGCAAACAACAAAAAAAGGGAAGCCGAAAGGGTTAAAAACAAAAAAAAGGGGCCAAAAAAATAAAATTAAAGGTGAAAAAAAAAAAAAAAAAACCTGGATTATACGAACAACGTGGCATCAAAACTGGAAGGAGACTCATTAACAACTTGTGATATGCAATTAATACAATCTTGTTTACTGGAAGCAAAGAGAACTTAAAATACTCACTGATAAAGATCAAAGACTATATACTGTCTTCAGTGTGGATGGCACCTCAACATAAAGAAAACAAAAATCCTCACAAGTGGACCAATAAATGACATCATGATAAATGGAGAAAACATTGACACTGATAAATGAAGTAAAAGACTTCATTTCGCTTGAATCTACTATCAGCACTCATAGAAGCAGCAGCCAAGAAATCAAATGAAATATTGCATTGTGCAAATCTGCAGCAAAAGACCTCTTTAAAAAATGCTCAACTTGACCTGGCTTCAATGGCTGGATGGATCAGAGCTCAACTAGAAGAGGGAAAAAGAGTAATCTGAAACAATTTGATGAAATTGACCTACACCTATGGATGCAGTAGCTCAAAAGAGGGAACAAAATCTTTACAACGAGGATCATTCTCACCCCCTCCATACACAGAGTGGACAGGGATGGGCAACTTGGACACTGGCTACTCAAAATGATGGGGTGGTGGAGGGAAGGCTACAAAGGCAAGAAGTGACTGGCTTACAAGCTTTCAAGAGGGAGCCTAGATCCAGAGGGTACGGAGGAAGGTAGAATCTCCACTGAGTAGTATCCAATCTGTCTAGGTGGGACTGATGAAAGGAGATGGGGATAGGTCTCTTATGATACAATAGTGAATGATTGCTATCAGGGCTTACTGTGAGGGTTGGAAATGTAAAGGTAGACATTTTGTAGCAAAAGGAGGTAAATGACTGACTTTGCAGTCTAGGAGCGGAGGTCCCTGGGGCCATCAAGGAAGAAGAGCAGAGAGCGGGACCCTACCCAGAGAAATAGTGACGCCAGAGATGGAGGCAGAGACGATGACGTGGAGAAATGGAGCAGCTGGGGACTTTAGACCCAGAGAGGGAGAGGGGCTGTGTGCTGATGACCAGGGGGCAGGCTTGCAGGGTATATATCCTGTGGTTGAATTAACCACAAGGTTGGGGGGTCGGGGGAGGGCTTCAAAGCCTCACTACACTTAGTCTATACCTGACTGTGCAACAAAATGCCCAAAATAACCCATTACAATGGAATGCTATCATAACTACTGAGGTAGAATGAGGGACAGACACAGTTAAAGAAAGTGTATTTAGATGCCAGAAAAGCATATAATCATATGCTTCTTTTTAAGAAACACACACAAAACAGGCTAGACAGAAACACCTCAAATTTTTTATAAGTGGACCTTTAGGGCACAGAATTTCAGAGTTGTTGTTGTTATGTGCCGTGGAGTCGGTTCCGACTCATAACGACCCTGTACAGTGTTTCTGAGGCTGTAAATCTTTACGGGAACAGAAAGCCTCATCCTTCTCCCACGGAACAGCTGGTAGTTTTGAACTGCTGACCTTAAGGTTTGCAGCTCAATTTGTAACCACTACGCTACCAGAGTTCCTTAGAATTTCTGAGTAGAGAGAAGGAAAATGAAAAATTTCACCTTTTATATTATCTCTGTAGAATTTGATTTGGTATAGTGAGTTAATGTTAAAATTTTAAAAAGCAGAAAAATGTTTTTAACAATTTAATTATTTCAAGAAAAATTTAAAAAAAAAACCATTCACCGTACATAAATTGTTGCTGTTGTTAAGTGCTGACAAGTGGGTTCCAAATCATAGCACCCCTACGTAAGGTTTCTGAGAAGTGACTGATGGGTATGAAACGCTGACTTTGAGGTTAGCAGTTCTGTGCTTATCCTACACCACCACACCAGGATGCACTCCACACATGAAAAGGAAATCAATGAAATTCAAGAACTTGCATTCTTCAAAGAGCTATGCAGGGTAAATAGAGAAACAGTTGAGGCAAATTTGGTGTGAAGACTTAACCAGATTTCTCAGGAAATCTAAATTACAAGATGCTTGAAGGTAAAAGAGAAAACTAAGACAACGCAAGAATAAAATTAATTATTTTCTAGCTTTTGCATTGGTCATGTGAAACATGAAGACAAAGAGTCACAAACAGAAATCCGTGCATCTCCTGAAAAACTTTAAATACATTTAGAGGAAATATCTGGTTCTCTTTTAGCATTAACTTCATCATTAAGCATCACTGTTTCTTACCTGATCACAAATCAGTTCCCACTTCTTCTCATTGTCATATTGCCGCAGCAACCTGGCTTTGTCAGGAGGTAGGTTCATAGCATTCTGTAAGACAAAGAGAAAAGATACATTATATTCCAAAGCAGGTTGTTAATGAGTATACATGCAGACCAAAAAACTAGTACTGTGATTCTTCAATTGTTGTTGCTGTCAGGTGCCATCGAGTCAGAACCAACTCATAGCGACCCCATGCACAGCAGAACAAAACAATGTCCGATCCTGGGCCAACCTCACTACTGCTGACACACTTGAGTCCATCAATGATGTCACCTGGCTGATCCATCTCGTTAGGGGTCTTCCTCTTTTTCTCTGACCCTCCACCTTACCCAGCATGACATCCCTCTCCAACGATTGTTTCCTCAGGACAATATGTCCAAAGTATGAGAGACGAAGCTTAGCCATCCTGGCCTCCAACGAGCACTCTGGTGGCACTTCTTCCAAAACAGATCTATTGGTTCTTTTGGCAGTCCATGGCACTTTCAGTATTCTCCTCCAACACCACAACTCAAAGGCATCAATTCTTCTACAATCTTCCTTATTCACTGTCCAGCTTTCGCATCCATCTGAGGCTATTGAAAACACCATGGCCTGGGTCAGGCGCACCTTAGTCCTCAAGCTGACATCTCTGCTCCTCAATACTTTAAAAAGTTCCGGTGCAGCAGATTTGCCTAATGCAATACGTCGTCTGATCTCTTGATTGCTGCTTCCGCGAGTGTTGATCGTTGATCTAAGAAGAATGAAGTCCTTGACAACTTCAATCTTTTCTCCATTGATAAGAATGTTGTTTATTGGTCCAGTGGTGAGGATTTTTGTTTTCTGGACATTGAGATGTAATCCATATGGAAGGCTGTGCTCTTTGATCTTCATCAGTAAATGTTTCAAGTCCTCTTCACTTTCAGTGGTTCTTCAATAGAGTCCTTTAAATTCTAGTTGTTGTTAAGTGTCATCGAGTCGGTTACGACTCATAGCAGCCCTGTATAGGGTTTTTCAAGAGCAGTTGGTGGGTTAGAACTTCCAACTTTGTGGTCTGCAGTCCAGTGCTAATCTTATAACACCACACCAGTTAAATTCATAGCACTGATTAAATGAAAACATCATAAAGAAATCACTTTTAATGTTAAACTGTTTTCATGGAAGGCAGCTTTGACGGGGGGTTATCTAAGGTAGCTTACTTTGAACAAACCTGTGTTTCAGTAAAGGCAGCCCAATGATACAAATGTTTATTCATTTATCACTGGGCTGTCTACTCAACAAAGGTTGGAGTTGTTATTCAAAGGATGTTGGCCCCATTGTTTTCTAAAACCCTAGCCCCACCAGACACAGTACAGTAAACACCAAAAGAAACACAATAACCCTGATGGGTAACAGTAATCTTTTCTTTCTTTGATAGACAACCAAGAATAAAATAACAGATTAGTAAAAATAAAAATAAAAGCCTGAAAACAATTCCATTTAACAATTTGATTAAGCCCTTAGGTGCTAACCAAAAGGTTGGTGTTGGAACTCACCAGCCATTCTGCAGGCGGAAGATGGTTTGCTTCCATGAAGATTTTTTTGTTTTTCGTAAGTGCCACAGAGTATCAACTCATGGAGAACCTACATAGGGTTTCTGAGGAGTGGCTGGTGGGTTTGAACTGCCAGCCTTGCCGTTAATAGTCCAGTGTTTATCCTACAGCGCCACACCAGGACTCCCCATAAAGATTACAGCCTTGGAAACCCTATGGGGTGGTTCTACTCTGTCCTAAAGGGTCGTTCTGAGTCAGAATCAACTCAGTGGCAGTGGAACCGTCTCCGAGATAACACTCCTCTAGGACATGCGATCACAATTCTCAGTCTATTATTTAAGAGTTGAAACTGCAGTGAGAAATTGACCATGAGCTAAAAGATGTCTAGACATACATATTCACATAAACCCTTCATCAGTTCAGCACACCTCCTACATTATTGGTCATGGATTTTCCCAGCTATATTCACATGCATTAATCTGACGTCTCAAATCACCGATCATATGCATTTTCAAGAACCCTAGCTCAAGTCTGAGGTACAATTTCTGGCCACAGAGCATAACACAGTTAAGAGTCTCAGAAGGAACTCGGGTCTGTTCCTTCCATTTCCCATACAGTTTCCATTCTCTAACTACTGAGCTAAAGAATCAGATAAACAGTGTCACAAGTCTGTTCACTGTTCCATCTCTTGGCACCAACAATGAAAACCATATTTATCCCTAGTAAGCAATCCAGTTCCTTGCCTGGTCAATATTCCAGGAGACAAATGCAGAGGTTCTGAACTTTAAGAACTGGTTTTATCACCTAGCTCTCTGAAGGACTTGGCTTAGAGAGAGGAAAGAAAAAAAAAAATCCTCCTTTCCAAGGTCGTAATATCATATTGTTATTGTTGTAAGTGCCACGGAGTTGGTTCTGATTCTTAGAAACCCTATATAGGGTTTCCAAGGAGCAGCTGGTGGGTTTGAAACACCAACCTTGTAGTTATTAGCAGTCCAGTGCTTATCCTACAGCACCACACCAGAAAAATAAATTTAATAAAAGCAAGGACAAGTGAGTTATTCTTAGTTAATGGCAAAGAATTAATTTTTGATGACCTTAATAGATAATAATCCAAGGATTTTCCCTTAAACTTGATCTAGCATCCAGATTGGTATGCTTAACCTCTTACTAATTTGTCTCTAATCTATCAGATTTTAGAACATTTATCTCTAATCTGTCTTTGGAGTCCTGGTGTGGCACTGCAGGTTAATGAGCTGGATGGACTATAAAGTTTGTTTGAATTGCAAAGGAAAGTGATTCCAGGTCACCAGCTGCTCCTCAGAAAACCTATACAAGGTAGCTGTGAGTCAGAACCAACTTGAAGGCACTTAACAACAACAACAATCTGTCTTCAGAATATTTAATTTTTAATTAAACTCAAAGCTGGCAACCTAATTTGAAAAGCTTTGGACTTCAGAGTGTTCAATGCATTGCCAAGGCAGAAATACCTAAAATGAGAAAAAAGCTTTTGTATGGCCTATCTCAATAGAATAATATCTACTGGAACTAGACTGGAAAATAGCTCGTCACATTTAGTTAGTATCACAGTTTTCACAATGTTAGGCACAGCCCATGGGATAAGGAAAAGGAGAATTCCATGTGCATCTTTCTGAAGGGGGCCTAAAGTTACTGATCATTAAATAACCAGTCCATCACTGCTTATATGATTATATACCCTAGAGATGATTACATACCCTAAAGATGGATCGTTTCCTCTTCAACTCCTATATTCAAGACTCTAGATATGATTACACATTATAACTGAGCAATATGTAAGTTGAATGAATTTTTCTTCAAGTTCTTATTAGTCTCTTGAGTTACAAGGGGGAAAAGAAAAACAGTGACTGACCTCCAACAACAACTGGGCACTTAACATATGTAATTTCAGTCTTCACAAGCCTGAGGGCTAGGTATAATTTTCCCCACTTTTAATGTGGGCAAAAGGAGCTGGAAAAACTTGATTAAATTGCTCACGATTGTACAATTTTACAGGAACAAAAAGCAGGGTCTAAACTTATGTCTGTTAAACTTGGAAAGACACACTATGAAGCTTTTTTGCAACAAGATAAAATGGAAATCACTTAAGACTTTGTATTAGTACTCTACCAGACCCTTAGGCACACCTAACAACAGCAGATCCTTATGTGGAAGCACTTTACCAATGCTGTTTCAGAAATTATGATATAGGCTCTGTTGTTATTAGAAAGAGAAACACGAGATGCTTCTTTGTAGACAAACTGCTTTTTAAGATGAAATAAATCTTTCATTCAACAAATGTTTATGAAGCATCTCCCTTCCATGGGCACCTGTGCTATATGCTGGGTGTATAATAGGCAAACAGATAGAGTCCTAATGGACACAAGTACGAAGCACATCTTCTAAAACTCTGTTACGTTTTGGGAGAAATTATCATCAGGCAACCTTAGATTTGAAAGGAGTGAGCAAAGTAATGAGGAAACTAAAGCATTCTAGGCAGGGGGAACAGTAAGAAGATGCTAAGAGGAGGCTGGTGCACTCAAATGCTGAAGAATGTCCTTAGGGTTGGAGAGAAGTACAGAGAAGAAATGAGGTAGAGATGAAGCTGGAGAGATGAGCCCAAGTCATATTCTGCCCAGCCATGCAGGCCAGGGTAAATACTTTTTATTGTATCTAAAGTGTAATAGGAAGTCATTGAAGACTTTTAGATCTAAATTACATAATTAAATTAGCTTACAAAGACCACTCAGTACAAGTACTATGTGAAAAACTGACTAGAAACAGCAAAATTGAAAGCAGAGAGGACAGTAAGCAGGCCATACATAGCAGTGTAGTCTATTTAAAGAGAAAGATACATTGGCCTAAGAAGGAATAGACTGGAGGAGATGGAAGAATAAGGTATCCTATGTGGTCCAGTTTAGGTCTGAGGTACTATGAAACAGCCAAAAGGGCAGCCAAACAAGCAAGCAGATAATATAATACTCAAAGTCAGAAGTAAGGTTTATAGAAAAACCCTAACATGTCTTTCTCAGTTGATAACAAGTTACTGCCAAGAAAAGCAGCTCAACGTTAACACATCAAAACTAAAAGTGTATTTGGTAATCATTCACCAAGCATCTACAATAACCCCTTCCTCAGATCAAACTTCTCAGTTGCTCAGGAATATAATGTAGCACTTAATGATTGTACAGGGAACACAGAAGCAGCTTGGTTTAAAATAAAGACATTCCACAGAGCCCTGGCTACAGTTCAGGGATACTGTGATTAGCTGGTAATAACTACCCTTAAACTTCTTTTATACTGAACTTGTTCCTTTCATGCTTTACAGGATAGGGCTCTGGAGGCCATGCTAAATGTTTGTGGAGGTAATTCATAGAAATCTAAATAATTTTCTGGGGGAAATATTGGCTCTATCTCTGGTCCCTTTGCTGCCTATATAAAAATGGACTATTCTTTTTGTTTATCTGAAAATATAAAGCAACCAAGGCTTCTGGGTGGTTTATTCAGCGTTGGCCCCCT